TGGCCCCCATCAACAGGTAGGAGCTGGGAAACCCCCCAGTGCGAGCACATCAGCCCGGGAATGCTGGCCCCCATCAACAGGTAGGAGCTGGGAAACCCCCCAGTGCAAGCACATCAGCCCGGGAATGCTGGCCCCCATCAACAGGTAGGAGCTGGGAAACCCCCCAGTGCAAGCACATCAGCCTGGGAATGCTGGCCCCCATCAACAGGTAGGAGCTGGGAAACCCCCCAGTGCAGCACAACAGCCTGGGAATGTGGCCCCCAGCAGCAGGTAGGAGCTCCTCTGCCAACCTGGGCCTTTGGCTCTTCCCCAAGGTACCTTTGAGGGAGACAGCTCCTGGAAGTGGGACACCAGGTCCCTCACAGCCCCTCCTGCCGGCCCTGCTCCGGCCCCTGTAGCCGTGGGTGCTGCCCAGCTCAGTGTGGGCTTTGGGGCTGGCACTGGGATGGGCTTTGGGCCTCAGCACAGCAGTCTGACCCTGTTACCCAGGGCTTCAGGCTCTGCTAAACTCACTGGAATCATCTGGAAACCTGGAGTCAGGGGGGTTTGGCTGAGGGACAGGAACTCCATATGGGAAGAGGAAGAAGTCCCGTCTGACCCTTTCATTAGGATTTCCAGCACTGATCTCACCCGACTCTGTCTGTAACTGACCCAGAGCAATTTTCCTGGCTGTGCCCATTCCCTGAGCTGGAGCTGGATGTGATGCCATGGCTGCATCCAGCAGGTTCCATGGGGGGTGTGGCAGCCCCACCGACGTGCTCCTTGTGCCCCGCAGGAAGGAGCTGGACAGACACGTGTTCCGGATGCAGAAGCACACGCAGGGCAGCAGGGGCACCTGGGACAAGGTCCAGAAGAAGTCGGTAATGCTGCTTCCCTCCAGTACTGCCCCCTGCCACCTCAGCCAGGGGCCTGCAGGAGACACATCCCTGGGATGGAGAGCAGGAATCCTCTCCAGCTTCCTCCCAAACCCCGGGGTTTGGTCTCTAGTGCTGTGGAGAAAAGTCCCTTTTGTTAGAAAGGAGCTGCTTATTGTCAGGATTAAAGCCACAGCCTCAGGTCGGGATTTGTAACTGCTTCTGGAATTCTGTGGTTCCTGTAACATTGTTCTGAACAGTGGGAAAAGAGTAGCCATGGAATATCCAGAGCTGGAAGGGACCCCCAGGGATCATGGAGCCCGACTCCTAATCATGACCATAGCTATGGTCACCTTGTATCCTACTCCCTGAATTTAGGTATTGATTCCTCCACTAGCCCAGGTTTTGCAGTTCCAGGCTCTTCCATGAAAAGCCACGATCCCAGGAGCAGAAATGTGGCTTGTGCCCCTGGTTCAGAGGGAGCAGTTGTGGCAGCTGAGCAGTTCAAATTCTGGGAAGATGTAGCACAGGGCTGGTGTGGCTCCATCCCAGCGGGACCCCGAGCTGAGCCCGTGTCCTTCCCTCCTTCCCTCAGGCTGGAGCCGTGCTGGGGACACCTTCCCGCAGGGCCAAGGTCAGCTTGGAGACCAGTGAGTATTCCTGCTTCCTCCTTCATTCCCAGCTCCTTCCACATCCCTACCTTGCTGGGTGCCCTCAGTCTTGGCTGTCTGGGCCTCCTCCCCCTGCCCTTCCCCCTCGGACACACCGATGATCCCTGTTTTCCATTGCAGATGTGGCAAAGGACTCGGTGGTGGGGAAGCTCTTCAAGGCTCAGACACCAAACTCCTCAGAAGAGGAGGAAGACCAGGATTCCTATTTCTCCATGTGATGAATTTTGTGGATCTGCTGGCTCAGCACTTGGGTGCCTCATTCCGAGTCTGTGGTTCAGCCGCCCCTCTGGGAGTGAAGGGCTGGAACTGCAAGATCCATTTGGAAAATCTTCCCCGATCTGGTTTTTATGTATTTTAACCCCATTCCCATCTTGCTGGCACTGTTTGGCTTTTCCATGTGTACATAGTGGCCCTTCCTTGCCCAGCTCCTCCTCTCCTGTTTCTCCTCCTGCTGCCTTTTTCTCCTGGGAAGGAGAAATGTACAGGGGTGCCAATGACTGGCAAGGTCATTTTAAGACAAAATATCTCTTGGGATATGAATGTACAATAAATTAAGGTAAAATCTGGAAGTAACTGAAACTGCTTTTTACTGTCCCTGAGGAAGAATCTGAATTTTTACATTTCCTTAATGTAATAAACAAGGATGAGCTTATTTTACTCACGGATCCATTGGACTTTGTGGAGCAGCAGAATCCCTGACCTGTCCAGCTTGGGATGGGGCCTCAAGGCTTCATCCCCTTGGTTTTGAATCATGGACTCAGGGAATGGTTTGGGTTGGAAGGGCCTTAAAGCCTCTCCAGTGCCACCTCCTGCCATGGGCAGGGACACCTCCCACTAGCCCAGGTGGCTCCAAGCCCTGTCCAACC